TGTTAAATAAGATATGCGACATATAGGAAAAGTTATCAACATACAAGCAGGAGTTCTTTCAAAAAGTTTGGAGATCAATTGCATCTTAATCTTGTCATGGGAAAATAATTAAACCCAAAACTCATAAGACATAGGAAAGTAAAAAAAAATGAATATATTAATAATATAAAAGCCAGATTCCTCCCATAGATATTTTAATAAAGTTTCACAGACTGAGATGGTGCATATCTCACAGGAACGTGTCCCACTGAGAGGCAGGCAGCCCCTGACAATTGACTGTGGAATACATCTGCAGCTTAAAGACCTTGAATTTCTACTTTATTTTGTACCATCCACTGTATATATCTGGATGCACTGTAAAAAAGCGATACGTTCTTCCAGGTCACATGGCCAATAATATTGCGTTCTGGGAGAGTGGAGGCAAGTGGAGTGGTTAGGGCATAGAGCTTGGAATCCTGAGGTTGTGAGTTTGAAACCCACTCCCACAGACTGCTACTCTGGGTCCCTGAGCAAAGTCCCTTTGCCCCAAACTGCTCCCTGGGTGCCACAAACGGCAGCCCACCGCTCCCCAAGGGGATGGGTTAAATGCAGAGAGTGAATTTCATTGCGCTGTACTTGTGACAATAAAATGCTGGGGCAGGGAAAAAGTATATACTTCATGCACTTCCTGTTTGTTTATAAGAGCCGATGTCAAAAGTGAATTTCTCCTTAGTGAGATCAATAGCTCGATATCATTGTTTTATTCTAATAGAATAACGCCTAATGGAGCTCCTGAACTAACATTTTGTTGAGCAACTTTTTGAGGCAACCACTGAGATCAGGTGTTTTCTGCAATGTTCACTAAGATTTCTGCACCTGTTGATGGTTTTGTCTTCAATTTGTCTGGGACAGTTGTTTTTTTTATTATCTTTAAAACCAAAATTCAAAAATCTGTATTTGATTTTACTATATTATCAGACCATAAACTGTTATATGCAACAGATGTTTCATGGTGTTGTTCTTTTAAATAATGCAAATGACTAAATAAGGATATGCAGTCAGAATGTGTTGAGTGCAGGTGTTGTCTACAACTAGGAGGAAGTAAGACGAGTTTACAACCCATCTCTAAACGTCAGCTTCCTTCTTTGTTCAGTTGAGGTCCTGTGAGTTGAGCAGCTGGCCACACAGAAACAAAGCGCCACAGACACAGGAGACTTTTTAACTCATATTTTATTAGGATTTTTGTTAAATTCTCAGTCAGGAAACAATCCATCGATATTGAGGAATGACACAGTGTTGCTGCAGCAAAGGAGAAGGTTGACTTTTTATTTTAACAATGATTGTACATTTTTGTTTAAATAAAAATTTCTTATTTCATCATTCAAAAACGGGAAACAAAAGCACGTTTCGTTAATTATTCAATAAGTAATGCTATCACGCCCATGCAGATTTATTGCATAGTAATTACCAGGCACTTGGTGAGTATTCTCAGGTTCATTTTTCTTTCTACAGTACCTCTAGCAGGACTATGTACAACTTTATTTCTTAATCATTGATGACCCTCTGAAAAAGGGGATCTTTGCACACATTTCCCATTTAAAAAGGGGGAGTGGCTACATTAGGGAAACCTAGAGGTCACAGCAGGACACCGATTTGAGATTGTCAAAGGCTAAGGCCCAATAAGGTGAGGTAACAGGGGACAAAAAAATAAATCCACCTTTTATAGTGCAATTCAATGATTAGCATCATTTCAAGTCCAAAGCAATGAAACCTCAAATCCTCTGAGGGAAAAAAAAAAAAATAATTATCTAATTTGATAAATCTTTTGTTTTTGTCAAATTTGACATCAGGAAAAAAGTAAAAATAGTCTCACTATCAGGGATATTAACATCCACATCATACATGCATGTCAAATATAGAACTCTCACAGTAAATAATATATTTTCTGAACAAGATTTAAAGTTTATACAAAAGAATTTAGAAATACAATGATTCCTTTGATGTCCAAAAATAATGCATAAAAGAAGCATTAAAAAGACTAAATCTAAGCAGGATAAATAAATGTCGGATAAAACAGCTTATTGTACTTTTTTTTGTTTGTTTTTATACACATATTTGGTATATGAGTAACTTACAGCTCTCTGCCTCCAATAACATAAATATGACAGCTACCACACTGCAGAGCCTACCCGTACGTAACCTGCTCCGAGGAACAGTTGGTATGGCAAATTAACAGATTACAGTGTTTTTCTTTTATATAAAATATTCCACATGACAGTGTACCTAAATCATCTTAAATAAAGCCTTGGAGACAAGACAAAGAAAAACAATTGTTCACACCCAACGAATAATTACTGATCAAAACATTTTATATTGAGCCGTACTGGAAGAGAAACAAAAGGTAACTATTTACCCTGAGAATGTAAACCTTCCAGGAAGCCTCAGCAATTTATACAAATAAATCAACAAATCATAAGACCTAATAAAAGTCTATAACATTTTTTTTTCCAGATTATTTTTTTTTCCATCCAGTGTGTGTGACGTTTAAGACTTTTCACAGTTTGGCTTCTTCCACTCCATCAGATGCCGCTGCCGGTGGACCATCATCTGCTCCTGGCTCGTGAAGACTCGGCCGCAGAACCAGCAGGAGAACTTTGCGGAGGCTTCCCGGCCGGGGGAGGCCAAGCCCACAACTTCGTACTTCTTCCTGCTCAGTCGGCGGAATTTCAGCCTCAGGGGGAACCTCTCCTGTACAGAGTTCTCCCCCTGATCTTCGATCAGGACGTCCGTATCCGAAGCCTCGCCGCTCGCAGCAGAGAGAGCCATCAGGGTCCGGCGGGAGAGCAGGACTTTCCGCACCTCCCTGTACTTGTTCACCACCTCCATGATGCGGGCCACCTGCGGGATGTCGGCATCTGGGTGGTTCAGCACCACGACGGGCTGGTCTCCAGCCGGACGCTTTACCGCCTGGGAGGGATTTATGGCGACTAACTTCAAGGTTCTGGGCTGGTGCTTTGGGACCTGCCGCCAGTGACGTCTCTCAGCTGGTGAGGACTCGTCTACGCTCGTCTTACTTTGACAAGACCGGATGACACCGATGAGATCTGCTGACGCCGCGACGTTTCTTAACCCTTCATCAGTCTGATCCTGCTGCTCTGCTTCATGGCAGGAATGTACAGAATGCAACGTTCCTGCAACAAAAAACATTCATAAAAAATAAAAACTCTTGCATTCTGTACAACCTTAAAGTAGGCATAGATTTTAGAGTATGGCGGAGGCAGCATCATGCTTGGGGATATATATATATATATATATATATATGATTAATAGTCACATCAAAATCTATACAGGACTAACTGGAAAAAAACTGGCGAAAAAAATAAATATTTGACACTGGAGTGGTGGTTCAACATCCAGCAGAACTATGGAGGCAGGAATGGTTTACATCAGGTGTAACCATCATCATGTGGTGCAGCAGCCTCCTCCTGCAACTTTCATTTGTTCCATGGGAAACATTAAAAACATCCAGGATGCCGTCTTATGAGGAATAGTTTTCTAGATCAAATAACATTAATCTTTTGAAACAAACTCGTAATAAATTCAAGAGGGATTCTATGATTATTAGCCTATTAGCCTGAGTAGGAGCTGGTAGGGCCCAAATTTAATTTTTTTTTTTTTTTTTTAAGAAAAGCTCCTCAATAACAAGTTATTCCAATTCTAACAATTAGGGATAGAACGGTTTATGAAAACCGTCCAGTTCGACTGTCTCGGTTCGGTTCGCGTGTGTTGCGTTCGGTTCATGCGCTGCTCCATTTTCTCATAGGCGAAGCGTTTACACTCCAGAGGAGAAGGTGGCGGTACTGCGACCAAAGCCAACCACCAGTAGTAAACAAGAAGAAGAAGCGAAGCAGCGTAGCCGGGTGTAGCAGAAAAAAATCAGTTGTT